TATGGAAGCCATAAAATCTGTGCTGCCCCACATGGTGGCAATACACAACTGAAAATCTAAGAACCCCACCGACCACCTTCTGACCAACATAATAGTGAGGTAAAGAAGTCTCTGCAAAGAGTTTAGCAAAGGATTATCCTTAAAGAATCAAATGAGATTGTAACCAGTTCATCTTGCCTGCTGCCCAGATACAGCCAATTTTTAAAGATAGGGAAGTGCAATAGAGAAATATTTTAATATGCATAAAGCCAGTTAAATAGGAGACCAGAATTTTACTATTATTTAAATCAGCCTCCCCCAGAATTTGGAGGCTAGGGTTTTTTAAAGACAGTTTGGCAGACATGAGTTAGTTCCTGGGTAGGGACCATAAGACCAGATGAGTCAGTTTACCAGTCTGGGTGGTGCCAGCTGATTCATCAGAATGCAGGGTCTAAAAAATATCTCAAGCACCAATCTTAGGTTTTATAATAGTAATGTTATCTATAGGAGCAATTGGGGAGGTTAGTAATCTTGTAACCTCTGGGTTCATGACTCCTGAGTCATAATTTTTAATCTTGTGGCCAATTTGTTGATTTTACAAAGGTGGCCTGGTCTCCAAGATACATTTTACCCAAGATGTAATATCACAGGAAACCAGAACCTTCCACTCACCTCTCATACACAACTGGCTTTATTAGTTTCCCACCACATTCAAGAGCACCTGATGCCCTAAACTGTTTAAGGTTGAGTTCAGGAGTGCTCTTCTCAAACTATCCCAACTTCCATGAAAACCAAAGGTATCAGAAGACCTAGAAAATATCTATAGAACTGGATATCTTGGGACATGAAACAAGTGGATACTTACATATGTGAATCTCACATGTCTTAATATCCAGACTGATTCCACCTTGTCCTATTCTTACATACTATGTATTTTTCTCTTGGGAAGTTTTCTAATACTAGCTTAGCATCATCATGTCAGTTTCAGTCAAATTAACACTTTAAAAGATCCCCACTGGAGGTCAGTGTGTCAGGGCACCTGCTGCTCTACAGAAGGGCCCAGTTACAACCTGAGGAATAGCACTTCATCAGAGCTACCTCTCCAGGCCACATTCCCCACTACCCCAACCAACCATTCCTCAGGAGAACTAAGATGGATTTGTGAGGAATAATTTCCTTGAGCCATTTTTCCAAAGATAGTGAGGCATTCTTAAATGGTATTCATTTGAACTTTGACACAATGCCATTATTTTGTAAATGCCATATCCTGGATAACTATGGCTGACAATCTACCCCTCATCATGACTGTGCTCAAATGTAGATACCTCTAGTGCATCATTGAACAAAATGAATTTCACATACTTAAGGCCTCTCTGAAATTTAATTTTCACCTTTCAATTGTTCACTTTTGGAACTTGTTTTGCGGGGATGAAACTGAAACTTTAAAAAGAAAAATTGAAGCTTGTGATGGGATTCTAAAATCTAAACAATTTACTTTCCAATCATATTTTAAACTGTTAGATCATTTGCCCATTTATTACCAATTTAACGTGAAAACAGACATATGTGCGCATGGACACAAACAGGCACACGTGTTGAAGGCCTCTAGCAAACAGTCTATACTCAAGGTTGATGAGACTTGTTCAATTCTATTGCTAGCCACAGATGAGCATACAGGAAGGTGGTAGGACCCAGGTGTGTCCAACCCACAGCCTGTGGGCTGCATGTGGCCCAGGACAGCTTTGAATGTGGCCCAACACAAATTTGTCAACTTTCTTTTAAAAAATTCTTTTTTTAAGCTCATCAGCTATTGTTAGTGTTAGTGTATTTTATGTGTAGCCCAAGACAATTGTTCCATTGTGGCCCAGGGAAGGCAAAAGATTGGATACCCCGTAGTACCTTTGACATTGACGCCTATGGGGAAATGGAGGGAGCAGAATTGGGTAGAGGGAGAAGCTGGACCATTAAGCAGTCCTAGCAAAGGCCTAAGCCAGTTCCTCAGGGAAACTGCAGCCAGGATAGCCCTTCAGTCTTGTTCTACTTGAGTCTGTCCTTGCTACCCCAATATTTACCAGTCACTGGAGGAGGACTGACCTTGGACAAGGTAGGAGGGAGGAGCCATGACCTTGGACAAGATGGCTCTCTCCAACTCCTCTTAATTCCCTGAGAAGACCTCAGCTGAGGGTCATCAGCTGCCAACACTCCCAGCAGCTGAAGAATGGGTGCCTCAAACTTGAAGTGGGGACTGGCCCACATACCACAGTGTTCCCTATAGAATGACAGTTTTAAAAAAAAAGTGACCATGAAGCTCATCTACAGCTTCTGTCTTTAAACCTGTAATTTTTTTCATTTTGGTTTTTCAAGATTATCCCAGACTCTCCCATTTCCAGTAGATTTCTTTGTGCTTTGATTTTTGTTTGGTCGTTTTTCTTTTTTCTAATTCTATTTTGAGACAGGGTCTCACTGTGTCACCCAGGCTGCAGTGCAGTGGCATAATCATGGCTCACGACAGTCTCAAACTCCTGGGCTCAAGAGATTCTCCCACCTCACCCTCCTGAGCAGCTGGGACCACAAGCATGTGCCACCATGCCCAGCATTTTAAAAAAATTTTTTGTAGACACGAGGTCTCCTATGTTGCCCAGGCTAGTCTCAAACTCCTGAGCGCAAACAATCCTCCTGCCTCAGCCTCCCAAAATGCTGGGCTTACAGGCATAAGCCAGTGTGCCTGGCTTGATTTTCAATATTTAAAAAATTCCAATTTGAAGATTGAAAAGCAGACTAAAATAATATTGGCCTAAGAACTGCCAAAAAATTCTCTGGACAACTACAAGGTATTCCTTGCTCCAAAACAGTAATTTCAGATCTGCCAGAACCAATCTGGGCTTCTGTGAAAAGGAGAATTGAGCTTAGGAAGGAGGGAAGTGGGTGGCTGCCAGTGCAGTGTGATTGGAGTGGCCGTGGAAAGATTTCCCAGACCTGTCGGCTCTGAAATCATCTTTATTCATGACAACTTCTGAACTCCAGAAGTGCTTACCTGTCAGTGTCACTCACCCGTCTCCTCTTGCTGTTTTTCATTTTGTGTCTAACTGAAATCCTAGGCTTGAATACCTGAGGCCCCGAACCTCTCAAGGTCAGGTCAGCTTGCTATTCCTCTATGTCCATGGGACCCACAAATGCAGCAAGTGAAATTGCCATCATTCCTGCGCCTTGGTTTTTGTCCAACATAGGATATGATTATACCTACATGGAGCTGCAGTGAAAGACATGATATGTGCTAATACTTCACCTGGAGATTGGTAATTACAGGCTGATAAGATTGAAGGCTGAATGAGAGCCACTGGGGGAAAAGGGTGCTGAACAGGAAAGTGGACAAACAGCTATGGTAGGCAGAATTTCTGAAAATGCCCTCAGGGATGTCCTATCCTAATCCTCAGAACCTGTGAAGATTGAGATATCACTTCCATGATTATGTTATAAGGTACAATTAACCTTAGAATAAGGAGTGTGCTTGCATGGGCCTAGTGTAATCACATAAGCCTGTAAAATTAGCTTTTCCAAAGAGGGGCAGAAGAGGAAGTTAAAGAGTTGCTGCTTTGAAGATTGAGGGGACCATATGAGAAGCAATGTGGATGGCCTCTAGGAGCAGAGAGAGGACCCCAGCTGACATCCAGCAAGAAAACAGGGACTTCAGTCTTAAAACCACAAGGATGGAATTCTGCCAATATTCTCAATGAGCTTGGAAGTGGATTCTTACTCAAGCCTCCAGGGAAAAGCCCGACAATACTTCGATTTTGGCTTGTGAGACTCTGAGTATAGAACCCAACCTATCCTGCCTGGAGTTGTAACCTACAAAAGTGTGAGATGATAAATTGGTGTCGTTTTAAGCTGCTAAGTTTGTGGTAATTTGTTGCTGCAGCAATAGGGAACTAGTACAGTAGCCAAGACAAACAAGTCTACTTGTCACTATTTTTGAAAAACACTTTCTTTGGAAGAAACTGGAATCTGCCTCTCAAACCATCTGGCATCTGGCATCAGGGGAAGGCAGACTGAGATCCAAAACTATTATGTGCTGGCTTGAGCTTCAGTTTTATGTATACCAAACCATTTATACCTCACACTTGCCCTCTGTGAGAAACACTGTTTTTATCCCAATGTTATCTCCATGGGCTTCTAACTACTGTTCGGAGAAATGAAATGATTAGTCCAGTAAGTTCTCAATCCTAGCTGTGCACCAGAATCACCGAATCACCTGAGGTTTGCTTTGCTTTGTTTTGTTTTTAAGCTAATGAGCTTTTAGAAAGTCATGATGCTGAGGCCTCAACCCTGACCCACTGAATCAGGGAGGCCCAGACCTCTTGCACTTATTAAAGCTCCTGGATGATTCTGATAAAACCCAGATGTTTGGCAACCAGTGGTTTAAAGTGTGGTTAATGGACACCAGCATCAGATGCCCACAGGGTGGTGGTAGCCACTGATATTGTGTCCCTAACAGCCATCCTCTACTACCTCACTTACAACAGGACCTCAGGTGTGCTCAGATGGCCGCATGCCTGGCCAAAGGGGACAAAAACCATGGTTGTCTCAATTTTCAGCTCTAGTCATGTTACCACATTTCTCTTTCCCAATACCATCCTGTGAAGGTTAATTTCATGGAGCAACTTGACTGGCCATGGGGTTCCCAGATTAAACATTATTTCCAAGTGTGTCTGTGAGAGTGTTCCCAAATAACACTAGCATTTGAATCAACAGACTCAGTAGATTGTCCTCCCCGACATGGGTAGGCATCATCTAATCTATTGAGGGTCTCAATAGAACAAAAGGTGGAGGAAGGAGGAATTTGCCCTCTTTTTCCTGCCTCATCTCTTGACCTGGGTCATCTCATCATCTCTAGTCCTTAGACTGGGATTTGCACCATCAACTCCCCTGGTTCTCAATCCTTTGGACTTGGACTGAATTACACTGTCAGAGGCATTTGAACGAGAGTGACTCCATCTTGCATAGGGGCTAGGTAAAATAAGGCTGAGACCTGCTGGGCTGCATTCCCAGGAGGTTAGGCATTCTAAGTCACAGGATAAGATAAGAGGTGGGCACAAGATACAGGTCATAAAGATCTTGCTGATAAAACAGGTCGCAGTAAAGAAACTGGGCAAAACCCACCCATACCAAGATGGCGATGAGAGTGCCCTCTGGTTATCCTCACTGCTCATTTTACGCTAATTATAATGCATTAGCATGCTAAAAGACACTCCTACCAGGGACATGACAGTTTATAGATGCCATGGCAATGTCAGGAATTTACCCTATATTGTCTAAAAAGGGGAGGAACCCTCAGTTCTGGGAATTGCCCACCCCTTTCCCGGAAAACTCATGAATAATCCATCCCTTGTTTAGCATAAAATCAAGAAGCAACAATAAGTATAAGGAGCTGAGCAGCCCTTGCAGCAGCGCTGCCTATGGAGTAGCCATTCTTTATTTCTTGACTTTAATAAACTTGCTTTCACTTTACTCTATGGACTTGCATCAAATTCTTTCTTGTGAGAGATCCAAGAACACACTCTTGGGGTCTGGATCAGGACCCCTTTCTGGTAACACCACCGCCAGCTTTCTGCAGATGGCAGATTGTGGGACTTACTTTTTAACCTTCATAACTGCATGGCCAATTTATCATATTAAATCTTATTTTCATTATATATATCTGCATCCTACTGTTTCTCTGAAGAACCCTAATACATTTCCATCTCTTTGCAGCTAGAATCAGCCAAAAACATATAAGGAGACTCCACCAGGAGTGGGGAGTTCTTGAGAAAGCTTTTGCTTCTGAAAAAAGATAAAAGTACACAGGAGAGCTGTCTGGTGCCATTCCCTGAGCATGTGAGAGACTGTGTCACTGGGAGCAGCAGTTATCTCTGGCCATAAGTTGAGATGACTGGGTGAAACGCTAAAATGTTGAGAAGGTAGGAAACAAAAGAAAGAACCGGGGACCCTGATGACATTGTTGAGGTGCATCAACCCTAGAACCATTATTAAGAGATTTATTATGTGAGATATTTACTGTTTTACTACTTGCAGCTAAAAGCATTTCTAACTGTGTACAGGACTACTTTTAAACGCAAGAAAGAATTTCTGGTGTTGAGGACTGGGTTATTTGCATTAACAACAATCCAATTCTTTGCGCACTGAAGTCTAAGTCACCCGCATTCTAAGGTCACCTACACAGATAGTGATGAAGCTGCTTCTAACTGGTCCATGTTTTTTCCACTCTATGGTATTAAAAACAAATAGAAAAACACCCGCATTCCTCCCTTTTTACACACTCCCTGTGACAATGTTGGTATTAGACATAGCAGAAAATAATAACTAAGAAAATAACCTGAAGAAAACATGTCTACAAGCTTTTTGTTAAGGAAAAAAAAAAAAACCCAATCTTTAAAGCACATATTTATTTTACAAATAAATCAGAAATAATAGGTATATGGGGAGAAATGAGAGAAAGAAAGGAAAGCCAAGATAGTGTTCATTTTTCACATTAATTTCAAAGAACAAAGGATGAGATGGGAGGTCAGGGGTTTCTGAAAATGCTCACCACAACCAATTTACACAACTTTTCAGAAATATGTTAACTCTGTATCAGAACACACTTTAATAATCTAGATATATAGAGAGACACAATCGGTTTGTCTAAAGAAGCTTCCAGATTTCCCATTTAGTGTGTCTTTTACCTTCACCATAACCCTAAGTCATCTCTGATAGTTCTCATTTTGGAAGTGATTCCATGCATGGAAAGTTGTGTGTGGGCTCCCTAAAGAGAGTAGCTGTGTCCCTTTTATTCATTGGCCTACCCATAGCCTGCAGCACAATGCTTTGAACATAGGGAGTATTCAACCAATGTCAACTACAAGATCACAGAAGGCCCCTTACACTTTAGGAATGTGCGTCTTGTGAGGCACCTGGGATATATCGCTAGTTCATTTTCTCAGACAAAACCCAAACCACAGAACAATGACATACTTCTGTAAAGGTCACAGGGTGAAGCAGCTCTCTCCAAATGTATTCCTGTGCACTTTTCCCCAAGTTTATTCCCAACAATGCTTGATACACTCTTCTTTAAAACCAGCCTCAGACACATCTGTTCTATGAAGACTAAATGGAACAGAGAAGTAGCTATTTACTCTCAACAAACAACATTCTGCCATTTAAAAGGAAAAAGTGAACTTTGTGGGTTCCTGTTGTATTATTAGGATTTAATTTCCTTCAGATGGAGATGTGTAACTGATATTACATATTATATACTGTACAGTCAATAATATAGAGAGATTTAATATGCATTCACTATGACAATGCATCAGAGAACATGGTTTTGTGTGTGTTTGTTTTGTTTTACCCTTTTATCTTCATACCCCGGTTTAATGTTTTGCAAAAAGAATCAGCATTTCATTAAATATATAAATAAATAAAAGACTGGTTTTTCCAGATTCACTAAACAGGTGTTGCTTAAGGCAAAATTTTTATAAACTAAAAAACAAAACAAAGGAGTCAGAACTCAGTTTCTATAACTGTTCCAACATGAAAAGGACTAGTTATTACCTTAGAGGAAATGTCTTATAATGAATTGAAGATTTTTATTGAATCTGAATTGGTCTCTTGCCCAACACTAATACTGACATTTTTCCTGCTGAGTTGCAATTGACAATTCACTTTTGGAAGAATTTATGGGAAAATATAGCATTATTCTATTTCCTGACCACAAGTTTTGTTTTATTTCTCACACTATATAGATGATGAGTCTCAGAGAACTGGGGGCTTCATTGCTCCTTGATGGGGAATCCCAGCTGTGTGCTTCATGTAGGGCTGTCCATAGCCTACAGCACATGGCTTTGAACATATGAGGGGGAGTTCAACCAATGGCAACTGCAAGATCCCAGAAGGCTCCTTACACTGTGGGGACTGACGGCCTCTTATTCCCCAATAACTCCTGTGGTGTTTCCAGCTTCACTCTTACATTGGCAAGTAGGGATGGAACGCACCGACTGCAGTGCGAATGAACTATGCACCTTATTACTTCAAACATTGAAACTCTGGTATTTAAAAAAAAATTTTTTTTTGAGACGGAGCCTCGCTCTTGTCACCCAGGCTGGAGTGCAGTGGCACGATCTTTGCTTACTGCAACCTCCGCCTCCCGGGTGCAAGTGATTCTACTGCCTCAGCCTCCTGAGTAGCTGGGATTACAGGCACGCAGCACCACGCCCGGCTGATTTTTGTATTTTTAGTAGAGACGGGGTTTCACCATGTTGGTCAGGCTGGTCTTGAACTCCTGGCCTCGTGATCCACCTGCCTTGCCCTCCCAAAGTGCTGGGATTACAGGTGTGAGCCACCGCGCCTGGCCCATTAAATTTTTCATGTGAGAAGATATACTTGTTATCATGAACACACAAGGGAGGGATTTGATCGTAGCCAAGCATTAAGGACATGTGAGTTTGTGTGACTTGGAAAACTCTGGATACCAACATCTGATCAAGTGGAAAATTCATATGCCTAGCAAAAGTGGCCCCTGTGACTGGTGAATTTGGTGGCACTGACATTTTTTCTTTAATTGCATTGAAAGGGGATGTATCAAACAAGCTTCAGCATGTTATTTAATTATAAGATCTGTTTTAAAATTTAAGTGAAAAACCAGGATATCTAGAAGCAAGTTATAGAGAATGCAAAACCTGTTCCCCTTTAGGTATTCAGCTTGATGCACCAAGTGATATTAATGGCTGTAGTCAGCTGTTGTTATTTTTGCAGTATCTAAGGGAGAGAGCGTATATGAATTCTTCTCTTATGAACTGCTTCAGTTAACTACGAAAGGAATCAATGTGTCCAATCTCATTCAAGATTTCTTTTTGAAACATTAGAAAGCACTTAACTTCACCACCAACACCCAAAACTGGCATTCTAGTTTAAACTACTTTCTGTATTTTATGTTGTACAAGCTCTACAGTACAGCTTGAGCACTACCCACATTAGTTACCACTATGTAATTCGTGCATTACTGCTAGCCAACATGAATAATATATAGTACTATATATGTTTAACTGTACATAACACATACCATTACATATTTACCCAAACCTCCCGAAATACATGCTTACAAGCAAGGACTCTTATACACAACTCAACTATAACACATTACACACCCTTCCAAAGCCTAATACATTCCCCCCGAATATCAACCGAACAGACACCTGCCAACCGTACATAGCACATACTTCATGTGTGTGGATCAATTCTTACTGAGGGTACCTCCTGCTATGCTTGGTAAAACATCGAGCTTTGCTGCCTAGAATACAAAATAAAATAAAAATAAATAAAAATGAGTAGCTATTTGTGTAATGCACTATTGTACACTTGCTGCAAGAAGTTTGCCTGCAAAAACAAACAATGTTCGGTCTTCTTTATAAGGTAACAAAAACTCCACCAAGAAAAAGATCCAAAACTTTGCCTCGTCATGATTTTTTTTAAAAGGAATTGGTAAGCTGGCACATCCATTTCCATATAGAAATGAGGTGGCTCCCCACTGCAACATGTTTATTTTGCAACTAGATAAAGTTATGAAAATTACTGAAGCACTTCTCTCTTTCATCCTTCTGAGAGGGTAGTCTTCCCTTAAGTTGTCTTGGGTGCCCATCTAATTGAAGAAAGAAAGAATGCAAAAATACCATATTTTTCCAATTCTGGCATTAAAAAATAAGATTATGCAGGAAGAAAAAAAAAGGCTTTCAAGTCAGATTATTTCCTTGAGAGATTTCCCAAATACTCTGTCTCCTCTTTAACATAACACAGTCTGAGCCTGGAGAATCCAGCTTATGGAATTCTCCTGTGGGCTAGAGGAGAAACCTTTGCTCCCTATGACAGCAAAGCTTCAAGACCTGCTGCTACATGGCAGAAAATAGGACATTACAAAATAGACAACCCACCCATTTTTTTCCCTGAAGGATGGTGGAAGAAGGAAGCAGAATGGAAAAGATGCACTAGGAAAGCCAAGTACAGAGATGATGTGTGTTCCAAGCACCACCCACCTTACCCCACCCCCGCCCCACCCAGCTTAGAGAACTGAGGAAAATGCAGAATTAGGGATGGGTAGGGCTGCTCTTGTCCTAGTTCTACCCTTGGGACTGGGGGGAACGGCCTCATAGGCTGTTCTGCACCACCCAGAGAGAATCCGTGTCACTCGGCAGTACAGTAGGTCAGGAGAAGATTGTGGTTGCCCTATGTGGCTCTGTGGTATTTATATAGGATCCTGCAGCTGCTGAGTCTCTGGTGGGGAGTAGCCCAGTGAGGGTTGTTATAGTGGTAGTGGGGTGCCCTGTAGAGAGCATTACAGAGTGGGTCACCAGGCCCAGGATTAGAAGTGTCTGTAGCCCCCGAGGAACCAGGACGGGGCTGAATCAGTCAAGGAGAGATGACATGACTGAGTGGCCACAAAGTCTTCCCACCCCCACCCTATCCCAGATGAGCCCAAGCTCTAACCACATGAAGAGCAAAGAAAGAATTTCTTCTTCTCAGGGACTGCGTTAATGATTCCCAACCATCAGCATTGAAGAAGAGGTCTGGAAAAATGTGAAGAGTGCTAAGGCTTGTGTGGAGAATAGAGGGGAGCATGAAGATAATCCACAGCCTGCAGGCAGGGACTTCATGGACACTCTGCATGCTGCAGCAGCCACAGAATTCAGCCACAGGTGCCAGCTGGGTGAGTATCAACCAGGTGGATTAGGTCCACCACCCAGAAGATGCATAAAAAACCACACCTGTCCCCCCAGATCCACAGAAGCCATCTAAGGGAAGAATCAGTGGGGATACTCAAGATCAAAAATGTGGAATGCTCTTTTTCTGTCTTTTCTCCAAGAGCTGAATATTATCTGAAGAGATTACTTACTAATTGGAAGATTTCACCCAGATAGGGCTAAAAGTTAGAGATTTTTTCCCCCCACTACTAGAGATTTCAGAGAGAAGTTCACAACATTTATAGATAAAAATAAAGGAGCATATCTCAATTGTGGTATAAGTTAAATTTGTAACTATTATATTTGTTTTTGAAAGCCATAAAAGTCTGCTTATTTACAACCAAATAATGCCATAGTTGACAATTTTAAAAAATAGAAAGTTTATCCTTTACCTAGCATATGAAGTAGCTATATTCAAAGATGAAAATGAACACAACTAATTCATCTAAATATTGATCTAATAAGAACATTATGTGACCAGATAGAAATTATTTGCTTTTATAAGAAAATTTTAGTGGAGGATAAAGCACATTGAAATAATTTTCCTTTTCTTAGAGAAACTGTTTTAACCAAATGAAAAAAACAACCATTGCAACTGATAAAACAACATACTTTGCAACAATTGAGTGACTTATTTTTATGGATTTTTTCCACTAGACATTCCAAGTAGAAAAAAGCAAAAATGAAGGATACTGGTTTTCAAAAATTTCAATTCTATCCATGATTGTCTTCTATATAAATTATTTTTACTTAATTACAACTCAGTGAATATATTTTAACAAGAAAGGCTTAGGAATTTCTGAGAACTTGACTAGCATTTTCTACAAATGGCAAAGAGAGCAGTGAAGATTATGTGATTTTAGATTTTTCTCACTTTTACACATCAAAATAAGGACTAGAAATTGATATTGACATGAATATAGTTATTTCCAAGGGAAATGTCCTTATTTCTTGAATATCTTGGAACAAAAGCTAAAGGAATATATATTATTTTTATATGGCAATAACTTTAATGTGTTATTAATTCAGGGTTGTAATAAACTCTAGTTGTGTTTTCACTCTATAATTATAATTAGTTAAAAAGTATATCCTCTCATCATTATGTCGGTGATGCTTACATGATGCTCAGTACGTCAACATTCAATACATTAGCTCAGTGTCATCCCTTCCTTCCAGTGTTCTTCCAGCTAGCAGTCCTGTACATCCATTTGCCAATGGCAGCTCCTTTTCCTTCTTCATTGGCAATTAGTCTAGCTCTAGTGTGAGAAAAAAATGATGCAATTGCCATATGATTAGGACCAGAGTTCAAAATTCAAACTCAGCACAGCTTTCCAAAGATCTGGTACTTAAGTTCCGTTCCTATAGCAGCAACTCAACACAAAGCCCACTGCCCTGATCTAAATGTAACCAAAACCTAATGCAAGTTTCATTTACCTCTCATTTTAAACCATGTCTTGTAGGTTTTGATAAACTATATGTGTTACAAAGCAACTGGAAAAGCTAGGGCACTGTATAATCACTGTTGATATAAAACAAATGTAGTAACTCTGTCTAAATTGTAAGAGCACATGTTGAACATAGAATCATTTCAAGCAGGCATTTTCTCATGAGCTATTTGATCTTGAAGGCTCAGCATGTCGACATTCAATACATTAGCTCAGTGTCATCCCTTCCCTCCAGTGTTCTTCCAGCTGGCAGTCCTGTACATCCATTTGTCAATGGCAGCTCCTTTTCCTTCTTCATTGGCAATTAGTCTAGCTCAAAAACGTTGGGGCCTGTACCCGACATCTCAGCCTTCCTCCCTCCTTACTGTCCTTGTTGTTGTCCAGTTATTACATCTTCTCACATTCCAATTGGCACCAGATTCATTTTCATAAAAGTGGGTAGTGTGGAAAATCCTTACATGTATAGCATTTTGTTAAAATGCGCATTGGTTAGAGTTGAGCAATTAGAAAGATTGTCTAGATTCAAAGGTAGTTTTTCTACCAGATGTCTGCTTCTCCCGAGAAGAAAGTCTGTCTCACACAGTTTCATCCCCAGGTCCCAAGGGGTCTAGTGGGGTGTGTGAGCTTGCTTCTTGGGAACAAAGACATCTGGAGTTCTCCCACACTGCCCGTGCTGTGCAGATGTCTGGGAGGCTCTCCTCTGCTGACTTGATGCTTCCATTTCTCATTGTGTCTAGGTCAGTCTGGCTGTTCACTTCGGTATCTCAGCCACCCACCCCTTCTTACTTCCAACAAGCGCTTAAAGTAGATTCCGTATTGGATGCATATACTTTTTTTCACAATTTTATCAAGAAATCAACAAAGTACTGCAGCGTGTTTACTAATGCTGCAAAGACAAGTCTCTCATACAACCCTTTTCCAATCTCCACACTGCCTCGGCTCCTGCCAGTCTCAGAGACCCTACACTTAGACCTTCCTGTTTTCCACAAGGACTCTGCCTCTTTGGCCCAGTCGCCTGGGTCACCTGAGCTCATGGCTTTCCATCCATAACCAAAGACCTATCTGAGTGCCACCCCCTTGGGACGAACTCCTAGGAAACTCACACAAATTTTATGGATATAAAACTTACTAGATATAAAATATCTAATGGGTGTACATGAATTTATTTCTGCGTATGTTTTTGGTTAACAAAAGAATTTTAGATTAACAGCAGCTCCTATCAGGGTACTTAGAAAAAAAGAAAAATCAACAAATTAGTCACAGACAAAAGGAAGCAGAGAAAGTTGGCAGGAAAGGAATAGAGATATGTGTAATAGAATACTGAAAAGATAAAAGAAGATAATGTAAAATAACCTAAGGCCTAAGAACCAAAGCATGTGAGGATATATGAGCAAAGAGAAGTACTGAAGAGCTGGGATGCTGGGAAGTAGGTGATGGGTGTCAACAACCTGAGTTACAAATTCAGAAAAAGATTTGCAGCAAATATGGCTAGTTATCTGTGGGATTCCTTTTTCCTTTTCTTCTGAAATAACAAAATACTTATTTGTTTAGGGCAGAAATTTTATCAGTTCAAAATATTTAACTTCCTAGATGCCCCCCCTTTGGCTAAGAAGCAGATGTGACACCAATGAGATGCAGGTGAATAGGGTTCTAGAGGCTTTCCTTCCACAGCAGGAGGCAAAGCCTGAGAAAGAAAAGCATGTTGCTATTCCCCTCTGCTCTTTCTCCTAATTCCTGCCTGGCGAGTGGTCCTGATGCTGACAGATGCGGTAGCTATCTTGCAGCCACGATGAAGAAAACAGCATGACTAAGGACAGAAGGAGCTGAAAGGGGGATGACACACGATTTCTGATGAAAGCCTTGAGCCACGACATTTTTAAAATGAAACTAGATACCTCTTACTGAAATGATGCAGGGATTTCCAGTTAAATTTCCAGCAAAAGAACGAAAAATGGAAATTAACTATAAATCACTTATTTATGTAAAATAATATTAACATAATTTCTATTTGGGGTTCTGTCTTTGTTGTTGTATTTTAGTAAACCTTAAAATATAAGAGATTTAAAATTTACTTATAAACTGAGTCTGCCAAGTGTTTTCTATTTCTTTGTGTATGGTTTTAAGTTCTTCAGCCTTAAATAGTACTTCACTGGGTGTTTTCAGGAACTTACATCTGTTTGGGGAGGAACTGCTATGTTATAATCCTCTATGACTTTAAGTCCAAGGATATACACACCCCAGCAATCACAGTCTTATAGCCACTAATTCAATTCTTCTTACAGCTCTTGGGGTTTGGGTGTAACCCCTTAGAAGCCAAGTTATTAGCTGAATAAGGAACTAACACCTCCAACAATGCTGTTCACTCAGGTTTCTTAAAAAACTCTTTGTTATCCAAGCAACTCCTAAGGATATACACCCAAGATGAGTTATGGAGAATTAATTACTGACTCCTGAGAATCTAAGAATGGGCAGCAGCCCAGGTGTTCTCATCCTTGAATCATGCTGTTTCATAGATGCAACTTACCTTAGGTCAACTTAGTGTTTATTTTTGATAGTGCAACAAGTGTAGACTTCAGACATTCTTCCAGTGACTTCCTTTAGGAAATCTGAGTATATATTTGTTAACATTAATATGCGATATGAATAAGCTTTCTAAAATTTGGACAAGTGGAAAAAAGTGGTATTTCTGTTCTTTGAATAAAAAGCAAATGCATTTAAAACATATGCATAATATATCAGTAGGTAAATTTATCAAAAGGAAAAAATGATCAATCCTATTTAAACTACCTGTTTTACAATTACAATAGTTTCTTATTCAGAAATTTATTGGGTCAACTTAAGTACTATATATTACATCAGAACTACCAACACCTTTATTACCCTGTTTGGAAGACCGAACATGGATCAGATGTTAGTTCCACCTTAGATACACCAAATCATTTCTTTCCATTTTAATAGCTGAAGTTTAGAAGGCAAACGGACCCAGAGGGGATATGCCCACAAGCAGGAGATGAACGTGTTCCAAATGGCAGTGTATTTCCAAGGAGACTTACAGGCTTTTTATTCCAAGGATTGGCTCAATACTTCATTACTCAGAAAATGTGTTTGATCAGGCGAGACCTCCAAATTTGAGCTCCTCTGCAGTCAGGGGAATGCTAATGACTGTCTGACAGCTTGTCACAGACATTGGATTTTTTTTTTCCTAGCATCCCTGGCCAGATTTCCTCTTTTCTGGCAGCTGTGCTGGTGCAGACTGCCAAGAGGCACCATACCCACAATCTTGAGAGGATTCTGTTTCCAGCAAGCCTTCTTTTACTGTCATCTATGTATTACATCTCTATTTCAAGTCTCTCTAGAATTTATAGTCATACTGGGGGTTTAGTTTCAATTTGCATTTGTTTGTTATGTGGCTTTACATGACTTTTTGTCTACTTCATGAATCTGTCTGATCTTCCCAGTAGATCAAAGTACCCAGAGGATCTGATTCTCTTTGACATAGAGAAGCTCCCCAGAGACCATGCCTTTGATTTCATTTATAGCCCTTTAGGATAGTGTTTCCCCTTCAAACTCTCTTGCAGACTGGTAAATATCCTAAATTATTGAGTGGGGAATAGAAGGAAGGGAGTAGGAAGTGAAACCCAAGACAAGTCACAATACCTGTTCATAAAAGGGAGGGGTTGCTAGGCAGGAAATCTTTGCCACTCTGGTCTTATCTCTTAAAGAACACTACCCAGGATTGCTCATCAATCATTGTCAACTATTTACTTTTACCTTAGGGTAAAATGACCTTATATGCAGGTAGTAGTAATTATTAGAGTAATATATGATGCCTAAACAGTATCTGCAGGTGGTAATAACAAATTAGAGTTGTGACAGGGCAGTGCTTCACAAATGTTCCAACTCAAGGTACAATCTCAAACTTGTTCCAGCTAGTACATGCCCAAGTATAGGGGTTAGGGGCTTTGTCTTCTACAACTTCACCATTCCTAAGGTGTTTAGATCCAAGTCTCTAACAACTTATTACTCTGTTTTTTAAAAAGGACAGTTGTTCACATGAGAATAATTTCAATAGGGCTGAGATTTTTTGGAGCATGGTAGATGGGCATCACTCCTACCAAGGCTTGCAGGCAAAGAGGAAGTCAGACATTGACATTTCTCAGCATGGGTACATGTGCTGCAAGTCACCTATTGGTCAGTTGTGAGAGCAGGTGCAGGAGAGTGTATATACAAGTCAACACTGGGAGAGGCATGTATAAGAGCTGAGGGCTTATAGCAAAGCTTGGGCAAAGTAAGGGGTATGGTTGAGCCAGGAAGTCTATGAAAATGAAAAGGCCAGGGTTAGAACCTCAGGCCTCAGATCTTGGTTAAATCCTAAAAACTGCTCATTGTGCTTCTGTTGCAGACAATACATAGGAGTGAATGAGACAGAAAGCGAGACCATGAGGATGATTAAGAAGAGCAAGTACAACATGGCTGAGACTAAGTGTCCAGGGAGTTGAGAATAAGTGGCCTATTGTCATGTCCTATATAAGTAGAGTATGTGGATGGGAGGCCAAGAACACACCAACAAATAAAATGTTGAATACATCAGTCAAGGGCCTATCAAGATGATCAGGATGCTGGCTATTGGAATGTTTATCCTCCCACCCCACCCCAGAAGAGGACCTTCTTGGCTTGTTCACCGCTGTTTCCCAGCCTGGCACACAGCAGGTGCACAATGAATATTCATTAAAATCAATGATTAACTAAACTGGCTAGTATTCCATCTCACTTTCATTACTGGAGAACTGAAGAGCCAGCTAGCCTACAAAAACTCATTCTGGATTTAGAAGCAATAAGAAAACATGCATTCAAATAAAATCAGAGAATCCTTCTAATGTTTCTTCATGTGTCTATCTTTTCCCATCCCCAACACCATTTATTTATTTTTCTTGACCTGCAAAGGATCTGTTTTGTCCATGATGAGTCCCAAAAATAGCCCCCAAAGTGGTTCTCCTCACCTACCCCACCCCACCGATGCTGCATCACATGGTAGGGTGTTACCTTGCTCCTCCATGCAGGGAGCTTTTCTCAGCACCACTAAGGTACCAGGGAAGTGGTAACTGGGAACAATTTTTCCCAATATAGATAAAGCCTGGATTAAAAAGTACGGTGATACATAGGCAAGGGGTAGATGGGGCCTTCCTAGAGGACACGATGTCTTCCTGAATTTAATCCATTAATAATCAACAAACCAGCCCTACTGATTTAATGCCTAGGCTTTGCTGCCTGACTATATTTAACAAAGCTTTCGAATGGCAGGGTGATTTCCTACAGGAATACTGAGTTTTTTCCAGGGACAGATGTAGCCTTGGTACATTGTCTGGTTATGTAGAATTTTTTTTTTTAACTGCACTTGTGCTGTTCTCCTTTTTTCAGCTCGTAGCTGGAGACCCTTTGCTGCTACCTCAAAACCTTTTTGAAATTAACCAGTAATAAATAAGATCTTTCTCTATAGACAGCTTTTTCCAAAGGAATAAAAGAATTAGAAAATATGGAGGATCCATAGTATGCATACCTTTGGTTTCCTGAGGTCCCTTAGGTGATATGGAATTCTTTAAAAATGTAGATAGATTTTGATAACATCATAATCAAGATCCTAAGAAATCACTAGCATCCATCAGACTGTAAAGTTTCTGAGCAATTCTCTCCCCAACCCCCATCCTGAGCCTAACATTGTGACTTGCTCACAGCCTCACTGGAGAGATAATCGTTAGATAAATGAAAGCATTCATTAATCAATGTGATGTGAAGAATTTGAATAAATGATTCCTGTTTCTCTCAGTCTAACAAGGGGAAGTAGTCCAATAAACATATCTGTAAGTTTGATAGAATCTGTAAGTTCTTTTGAATATTTGGAAGTCTGATTTCATTTTTAAGACACACAGAGTCTATTACGATAGAGCAGTGAATTTTATTCGGTTAGGTAATTTTGCGCTTATTTTTAACCAGTTTGTCTTTCTTCTTTCTTGTGGTTTTCACTATAGTATTCATGGATCCTATTAACAGTAAAGAAAGTGGCAGACGCCAGGCATGATAGCTCATGCCTGTACCCAGCACACTGGGAGGCTGAAGCAGAATTATTTGAGGCCAGGAGTTCAAGACCAACCTGGGCAACATAGTGAGACCCTTTTTGTTGGGTTTTTTTTGGGGGGTTTTTTGTTTTTTTTTTAAGGAGAAAGTGGAGATAATAGGTTACTCCATGGTGAGGCTTGGGATGGTGGTGGGAATGGAGTGGAGGAAGGACTCCCTTCCCAGTGACTAGATATGTCTTAATTTGTAAGAGGGCTCTCTCCCTTGTGACTTTCTCTCCTTTACCTATGTCAACTTTGTGTTGTGAGTGTTCAGTACAATATGTGAATGGAAAATTCAGAAATGAATGTACCAATAGAAATAAAGATACATGTGGGTGTTGCTTTTTTACTTTTTCAATGAAGATCTGATCCTTTGGTGCTTTACTTGGTCCTAATCCCACTTTTCTGTGAGTTGTGGCTGAGGACTTGTGCTTAATTATAAGATTCTGGTTGTTGAAGCTGTTGTTTACGCATGAAGGACTACTCAGAATATCACTGTAATTACACATCTGCCCCTCTGAGTTCTTCAAAAATAGGAACATGACTGATATGTTTGGAAAAGGTTAAAAATATGCTTAGTGCTAAAAGGAAAATGAGCTAAAAATTTCCTGGTATTTTATTATAGTTCTATATTTTATGACGATCTTTATTGCAATAGTAATATCTTGACTTTATAAAATTCTTTCATGTTTTAACCCTTGGTGTCCATACTTTTGCTTCTGGGAATATCATGCAGGCTCGATACAACCATTTTGCTTATAAGAAAAGCAAATTGGGTCAGGCACAGTGGCTCACACCTTTAATCCAAGCACTTTGGGAGGCCAAAGGGGACAAAACACTTGAGTCCAGGAGTTCGACACCAGCCTGGGCAACATGGTAAAAACCTTGTCTCTACTGAAAATACAAAAATTTGCCAACTGTGGTGGCACATGCTTATAATCCTAGCTACTCAGGAGGCTGAGGCATGATCTTTTGTCAATTTAGTTTACAGGGCCCCAGCCACAGAACCTAGAAGGGTAAAAGAAAAGATCTCCCCTGCAATGCAATAGAAGAGTTTAAAGGATGTGACTCAGGGTAGGTCAGAGATCCACAAGTGGTTCATTTCTGTTGTCAAAATAAGTAGAGTGAAAATACCTGTGAAAAGTAATAATTTAGAGACTATTAGTAAATAGTTCTTTGGTATAAGGTCATTTGTCATACTATTTGGCTGGGGAAGGAACTTAGGTTATCCTCAGCTCTGGGATGCCTACACGGCAGGCAGATTGGTGCTTTTTGTAGCCTCACATAAGACAGAAACAAGCAGAGGGCAAAAGATAGAACTCAGCAGGAGAAAGTCTAGTTGACAGAGCAGGAGCATCGCCATCTTGGACAAGCACTGCCATTTTACAGTTCACCTTGATCAAAAACTGCCTAAATCCAAGGGCATCAGCCTAATGGCTAAGGTCAGCATGACCATAAGCCACAAATGACATCTCTGACCACAAACATTCCAACCATAAGATAAACCCCTCCCAAACCAGAGACATGCCAGCCCCAAGATAACCTCCCCTCCAACCAGAGACATTCCAACCCTGCAATAAACTTCTCCCCCACACAGAACCATTCCAAGCCTGTGGTAAGTTCTCTCACCCTGAACCCCGAAATACTCTTAGACTGTATTTCTTTCCTCTTTAGCTGTTACATTTCATGCCAAAACCCATGATGGGTGTCAGAAGTAGAGGTTTTCTTGCAACCCAGGAAATGATGGACAGCAGCTGCTCATCCTGCTGGATCCTGAGAGTCTCTGGCCGCCCACCCTGTCTTGTCTCTCACGTCACTTTTCAAGCCATTTGCATGAGAAGGACAATTAACCTGAAGGGGACTGCAAGGCTCGGGCTGCGGCTACTCTCCAGTGAGCCCTCAAAACCCTCAGGTCTCAGGAATCCATCTCCAACCACCTGTAACAAGTATTTCGTTCTCTTTTCTCTCCCTCTCTCTTTCCCTTTTTCCCTCCCTCCCTCTCCCACACACATGCACAGCTCCACTCCAAGAGGCCCTTTGCTGATTCCAACCGGAACATCCAACATCACACACTAATCCAGCTGACTGGTAAGGGCTGCCCTCCCCTGGCTTTCTCATGGTACCTGGGAAACTCAGGTCTGCTCTCCCGGCTCAGAGGACCAGTGTGACTAAGCTAGAAGAAATCTTGGGGATGCCTAGTTTCTTCTCAGCTTGACCATTCTCTTTAGAAAGAGGATTCTGGGTCTCTGTCTTTTGTCTGGGGACGCCTAGAACCAAAACAGACATCATCGGCCTCTTCTCACCAGTTCACATGGGTGCCAAACAATCCCACATTCCTACATCCTCTACACTGGGCTGTCTCCTTCATAAACTCCCCAAACTTGCCTTACAGGGAAGCATAAAGCCAAAGCATTTAGCCTTTTCTTGCAACACTGCCTGGTCCCAATACAAATTTTCTTTTCTTTTTTTTTAAGTATACTTTAAGTTCTAGGGTACATGTGTACAAAGTGCAGGTTTGTTACATATGTATACATGTGCCATGTTGGTGTGCTGCACCCATTAATTTGTCATTTACATTAGGTATATCTCCTAATGCTATCCCTTCCCCCACCCCATGACAGGTCTTGGTGTGTGATGTTCCCCTTCCTGTGTCCAAGTGTTCTCATTGTTCAATTCCCACCTATGAGTGAGAACATGCGGTGTTTGGTTTTCTGTTCTTGTGATAGTTTGCTGAGAATGATGGTTTCTAGCTGCATCCATGTCCCTACAAAGGACACGAACTCATCCTTTTTTATGGCTGCATAGTATTCCATGGTATAGATGTGCCACATTTTCTTAATCCAGTCTGTCATTGATGGACATTTGGGTTGGTTCTAAGTCTTTGCTATTGTGAATAGTCCCGCAATAAACATACGTGTGCATGTGTCTTTATAGCAGCATGATTTATAATCCTTTGGGTGTATACCCAGTAATGGGATGGCTGGGTCAAATGGTATTTCTAGTTCTAGATCCTTGAGGAATCGCCACACTGTCTTCCACAATGGTTGAACTAGTTTACAGTCCCACCAACAGTGTAAAAGTGTTCCTATTTCTCCACATCCTCTCCAGTACCTGTTGTTTCCTGACTTTTTAATGATCACCATTCTAACTGGTGTGAGATGGTATTTCATTGTGGTTTTCATTTGCATTTCTCTAATGGCCATTAATGATGAGCATTTTTTCCTGTGTCTGTTGGCTGCATAAATGTCTTCTTTTGAGACGTGTCTGTTCATATCCTTTGCCCACTTTTTGATGGGGTTGTTTTTTTCTTGTAAATTTGTTTGAGTTCTTTGTAGGTTCTGGATATTAGCCCTTTGTCAGATGAGTAGATTGCAAGACTTAGGATTGTCTTGGCAATGCAGGCTCTTTTTTGGTTCCATATGAACTTTAAAGTAGTTTTTTCCAATTCTGTGAAGAAACTCATTGGTAGCTTAATGGGGATGGCATTGAATCTATAAATTACCTTGGGCAGTATGGCCATTTTCACAATGATGAACATTGATGCAAAAATCCTCAATAAAATACTGGCAAACCAAATCCAGCAGCACATCAAAAAGCTTATCCACCATGATCAAGTGGGCTTCATCCCTGGGATGCAAGGCTGGTTCAACATATGCAAATAAATAAACGTAATCCAGCGTATAAACAGAACCAAAGACAAAAAACACATGATTATCTCAATAGATGCAGAAAAGGCCTTTGACAAAATTCAACAGCCCTTCATGCTAAAATCTCTGAATAAATTTGGTATTGATGGAATGTATCTCAAAATAGTAAGAGCTATTTATGACAAACCCACAGCCAATATCATACTGAATGGGCAAAAACTGGAAGCATTCCCTTTGAAAACTAGCACAAGACAGGGATGCCCTCTCTCACCACTCCTATTCAACACAGTGTTGGAAGTTCTGGCCAGGGCAATCAGACAGGAGAAAGAAATAAAGGGTATTCAATTAGGAAAAGAGGAAGTCAAATTGTCCCTGTTTGCAGATGACATGATTGTATATTTAGAAAACCCCATTGTCTCAGCCCAAAATCTTCTTAAGCCGATAAGCAACTTCAGCAAAGTCTCAGGGATACAAAATCAATATGCAAAAATCACAAGCATTCTTATACACCAATAACAGACAAACAGAGAGCCAAATCATGAATGAACTCCCATTCACAATTGCTTCAAAGAGAATAAAATACCTAGTAATCCAACTTACAAGGGATGTGAAGGAACTCTTCAAGGAGAGCTACAAACCACTGCTCCATGAACTAAAAGAGGACACAAATGGAAGAACATTCCATGCTCATGGATAGGAGGAACC